GAGGGATTTGGGATCAGGGCCTGCAATGCCTGGAAGGACACAGGGAATGGCTTCCCACTGGGAAAGGGGAGATTGGGAAGGGATTCCCGGCTGGGCTGGAATTCCCAGGGAAGCTGTGGCTGCCCCTGGATGATCCCTGCAGTGTCCCAGGCCGGGCTGGATCCCCTGGGACAGCGGGAATTGTCCCTGAGCATGGAATGGGATGATCCTGAAAATCCCTTCCCACCCAAACCATTCTGGGATAAAGGACACTCAGGATCCACCCAGAGGGGTTTTTATGGAATGTGGGGATGGGAAAGGCGGGAAAGGGGAAGGGAGCCCCTTCCCTGAGTGCCGAGATTCCCAGGGAACCCCCCCTTGTTCCCGGAACTCCTTCCCAGAGAGGAGTTGGGCTGGGGATGGATCCAATGTCAGGCTCTGGCTCCAGGCTGGGAGAGCTGGGAATGGCCAGGACCTTCCCACCCTTTTCCCCCTGGGAATGTTCCACCCCTGCTTTTGCAGCTCCTGGGGATCCTTCTTGGAATGTTTTCCTGGTGCTCCCCTGGCAGGAAAACCATCCCGTTCTCTGCCTCTTCCCACCCTCTGGAAGTTGCCACAGCAACGGAGACACTCCGGGTTTTTCACGGAATGAGGGAGAGGGGGTGGGGTTTTTGGGGTTTTTTTGGGATTCTCTCCCCTCCTCCTCCCCCCCTTCCTTTGCCGGGAGAGGGATTCATTCCCATTTTTCCCCAGATTCCCTTGGGAATCCCCCCCTTCCCATGGCTGGATCCTGGGGGGGCTTCCAGTCCTTTTTTCCAGGTTTTTTGCTTCCCAGGGATTTGAGGGCTCCTGGATCCGCCTGATCCCACTCCAAGGGGGGGGGGGGGTTCTGGGATATCCCCCACGGAGGGACTCATGGAATTCTTGGAATGGGCGGTCCAGGCGGGAATAGTTTGGGTTTTCCAGGGTTTTGTTTCTCTCTTTTGGGATTTGAAGGGAATTATCCAGACACATCCCAAAATAAGACATAAATGGGATTTGGGATATTTTCAGGATACCTCCCAAGCTAAGACATAAATCAGATATTTGGGATTTATCAGGATAAATCCCAAAACAAGACATAAATGGGATATTTGGGATATTATCAGGACACATCCCAAAACAAGACACAGCCCAAACTGAAACCCCAAACCAGAGATTTGGGATTTATCAGGACACATCCCAAAACAAGGCACAAATGGGATATTTGGGATATTATCCAGACCCATCCCAAACTAAGACACAAATCAGATATTTGGGATTTATCAGGACACATCCCAAAAGAGGACACAAATGAGATATTTGGGATATTATCCAGACACATCCCAAAACAAGACATAAATGGGATATTTGGGATATTATCCAGACACATCCCAAAACAAGACATAAATGGGATATTTGGGATATTATCCAGACACATCCCAAAACAAGACATAAATGGGATATTTGGGATATTATCCAGACACATCCCAAAATAAGACATAAATGGGATATTTGGGATATTATCCAGACACATCCCAAACTAAGACACATCCCAAACTAAAACCCCGAACAAGAGATTTGGGATTTATCGGGATACATCCCAAAACAAGGCACAAATGGGATATTTGGGATATTATCCAGACACATCCCAAAACAAGACATAAAGCAGATATTTGGGATTTATCAGGACACATCCCAAAACAAGGCACAAATGGGATATTTGGGATATTATCCAGACCCATCCCAAAATAAGACACCAATCAGATATTTGGGACACACCAGGATAAATCCCAAAACAAGACATACATGAGATGTTTGGGATATTATCCAGACACATCCCAAAACAAGACACATCCCAAAACAAGGCACAAATGGGATATTTGGGATATATCAAGTTATATCCCAAAATAAGACACAGATCAGATATTTGGGATTTATCAGGATAACTTCCCAAAATAAGCCATAAATGGGATATTTGGGATATTATCCACTCACATCCCAAAACAAGACACATCCCAAACTAAAACCCCGAACAAGAGATTTGGGATTTATCAGGACACATCCCAAAACAAGGCCCAAATGGGATATTTGGGATATTATCCATACACATCCCAAGATAAGACCCAAACCAGATATTTGGGATATTATCCAGACACATCCCAAAACAAGACATAAATCAGATATTTGGGATTTATCAGGACACATCCCAAAACAAGGCCCAAATGGGATATTTGGGATATTATCCAGACCCATCCCAAAATAAGACACCAATCAGATATTTGGGACACACCAGGATAAATCCCAAAACAAGACATAAATGGGATGTTTGGGATATTATCCAGACACATCCCAAACTAAGACACATCCCAAACTAAAACCCCAAACCAGAGATTTGGGATTTATCGGGACACATCCCAAAACAAGGCACAAATGGGATATTTGGGATATATCAAGTTATATCCCAAAATAAGACACAAATCAGATATTTGGGATTTATCAGGATAACTTCCCAAAATAAGCCATAAATGGGATATTTGGGATATTATCCAGACCCATCCCAAAATAAGACACATCCCAAACTAAAACCCTAAACCAGAGATTTGGGATTTATCGGGATACATCCCAAAACAAGGCACAAATGGGATATTTGGGATATTATCCAGACCCATCCCAAAATAAGACACCAATCAGATATTTGGGACACCAGGATAAATCCCAAAACAAGACATAAATGGGATGTTTGGGATATTATCCAGACACATCCCAAACTAAGATAAATCCCAAAATCAGACACAAATGGGATATTCGGGATATTATCCAGACCCATCCCAAACCAAGACACCAATCAGATATTCGGGATTTATGGGGATAAATCCCACAGCAAGACACTAATGGGATATTTGGGACCCCTCCCATCCCCGTGTCCCTCTCCGGGATCCGATCCCGCGTTCCCATGGATGATCCCAGCGGGATTTTTCCCTCCCCCATCCCCGCATTCCCAGCGCGGAGAAGCGGCGCCGGGAGCAGGAGCACCGGTACCTGGAGGAGCTGGCGGAGCTGCTCTCGGCCAACATCCGCGACATCGACACCCTCAGCGTCAAACCCGAGAAATCCAAGATCCTGCGCAAGACCGTCGACCAGATCCAGCAGATGAAGAGGCTGGAGCAAGGTGGGAGGGGAAAAAAAAAACAACGGGAATTCCGGCGGGGAATTCCGGTGCTCCCGGGATCCTCCGAACCGGGATTGGGGGGGGGGATTGATCGGTGGGAATTCCTGGTGTAGGAATTCCACGTGGGAGGGTTTTCCTGCCCCTGGGATGCTCCAATCCATGATTGGGGTGGGAATTCCTGATGTAGGAATTCCATGTGGGAGGGTTTTCCTGCCCCTGGGATCCTCCAATCCGTGATTGGGGTGGGAATTCCTGGTGTAGGAATTCCATGTGGAAGGGTTTTCCTTTTCCTGGGATCCTCCAAACCACCATTGGGGTGGGAATCAGTGGGAATTCCCGGTGTAGGAATTCCATGTGGGGGAGTTTTCCGTTTGGAAATCGTTTCCTTTTGGAATCAGTGGGAATTCCTGCCGTAGGAATTCCATGTTGAGGCGTCACCCCTGCCCTGGTGTCACTTGGTGTTGAGGTGTTCGTGGAATCCCAAAAAAATCCCTAAATTTGGGATGTTTAGCCCAGTAAAACCCCGAATCCTTGAAGGATTGGGAAAGTGGAGACACTCCCGACATCCCAGGATATCCCAAAAAGTCGTGGAATAGTGGAATTCCCTAAAAATGGGGGCCGGAAAACCCCATCAGACCCCAAATCCTTAAAGGATTGGGAAAGTAGACACATTCCTGATATCCCAAGAAGTCCTGGAATAGCGGAATTCCCTAAAAATGGGGGCTGAGAAAACACCAGGAAAGGCACAAACTCCATCAGGATTCGGATGAACATCCCAGGACTGGGATGGGATAAATCGGGAAAGGGGGGGGTGGATATTCCATAGGATCCCATCCCGCCCTTCCCTGCGGATCCAGGGCCGGTTTTTCCCAGCTGGATGAGCCGGGAGCAGCTCCAGGATGGATCTGGGAGCCCCTCCCCTTCCCCCCCCCCCTTTCTCCCGGGGTTATTTCAAGCTTTTGGAAAAGATTCCCGGCCTTTGGAAAACTTCCAAAAGGCGAGCAGTTGGCAGGAGGGGCGGATTGCGGCAGAATCCTGGGAATGCTGGGCCAAAGGGGGCCGGCGGAGGAGAATTTTCCGGCTTTTTTGAGGCTCCTCCCCCCCAAAAAATTAATAAAAAAAGAAAATAAAAATTGGGGGTTTTGGGGTTTTGGTTTTTTTTTGGAGGGTTCGGTGAGGAGATCTTGGAATTCCGAGATGGGTTGGGCGGGAAGGGATTTTAAGGATCATCCCATTCCGTGTTCAGGGACAATTCCCGCTATCCCAGGGGATCCAGCCCGGCCTGGGACATTCCAGGGATCATCCAGGGGCAGCCACAGCTTCCCTGGGAATTCCAGCCCAGCCTGAAAATCCCTTCCCACCCAAACCATTCCAGGATTCCCTGACCTTCCCCTTATCCCGGCAATTCCCGGTTACCATCCAAGAGCTCCATTCCCACGGAATTCGTGGCTCCAGCACCTGGAAAACCCTCGGGAAGGGGGTCAGATGAACCCAGGGGAGGGCCCAGGTGTTTTGGGGGGCTCATTTTGCAGTTGGATCCATCCCAAGTTTTCCCCTGGGAAATCAGGGATTCCTGATCAAAACAGGGATCCGTTTTAATCTCCCACTTCCCCTCTTTCTTCCCTAATTTCACCCAAAAGGTGGGATTAAACCGGAATGAACACGGGATTTTTGGGAATTAACCCCCCCCCCCAGTCATTCCCAGGGCGGGTGGGGATTTATTCCCGGTTGTATCCTCGGGAATCTCATCCTGGGAGAGGCTCTCCCAGCTTTTTCCCGGGAATTCCCGGGTTAAAATCCCCTCTCCCAGCTGGGAATTCCTTTTCCTTTTTTCCCTTTTTTTTTTTTTTTTTTTTT